CCAACTACCCCACATTGGGGTTGGGTTCCAGAATCATATTACACATATTAATCCATTTAGCCACATTTAATCCTATAGAACAGGCATTTTGATCTCTTCTTCACATGAGGCTATGACTCAGAGAAATTAAGTAAATTGCCTCTGGCAGAACTATGGTTTGAACTCATAATAACCAAGCAAAGGGCTATGAACTGCAGCAGGTACTGTTGGCCACAATGATTGGCCCTGAGGTGCTTACCCAGGGTCACCAGACACACATGGGCTAGTGACTTGCAATCCGGCACAGAAGTCAGTACCCAACCAATCAAAAGCCTCTGTCAGGAATTTGGGATTGAAGGTCCACAGTAGGGTGTGTTGGGTGAAAGCAGTGATGTAGACCCCCACTTAGACTGGGGTCTAATTGCAGTCTTAGCGTCACCCTAGAGCTTTTAGAAAATCTAAGTACCTCCCTACATTTTCTGAATCAGAACTGGCATTTGAACAAAACTCTCAGATGCTGTTTAAATGCTAAGGTTTGTGAAGCACTGAGGTAGATGGTGGCTCAGCCAACAGGGTCCTGGGCGGGTTAAAGAATCTGTATGTGATTATGAAACACTTCAACAGTGAACTACATCGTTATTAGGTAAAGTTATCAGAAAAGTCAGGACGCCTGGGTGGCTCAGTTGGTGAAGCATCTGCCTTCGGCTCAGGTCATGATCTCAGGGTCCTGGGATCGAGCCCCATGCCAGGCTCCTTGCTCAGCGAGGAGCCTGCTTCTCCCTCTCCCACTCCCCGTGCTTGTGCTCTCTCTCTCTCTCACACACAAATAAATAAAATCTTTAAAGTTATCAGAAAAACAATGATGGTCTAACATCAGACACTCTGACAGTGGGATGACCACACCCATGGTCAAATAGAGAGAAATCACAATGATTATCTTGAAACATGAAAAAGGGTATTTGATAACGCTTAAAACTTAGGTATTATTTGAAAAACTCTAAGAATACTAGGAATAGAAAAGCTCTCTCTAACTTGATGAAGGCTTTCTACCAAGAAATCCACAATAATCATTATGCTTAACCGAGAAACCTTAGCGAGCTGCTTTTCCTGTTAGCGATGGACTAAGGATGCCCTCTCTCCGTACTGTTCAACAGCATGCTGGTGTGGGCCCACACAACAGGATGCAAAATGGCAGTGAGAGTTATATAGATTAGAAGGAAAGAGTCAAAACTGTTATTTTCAGATGAAGAAATAACAATTTTCTACATAGGTAACCCTATGAATTAACAAACTATTAGAACTAATAAGGATGTGACAAAATTGCTAAAAACAAGATTAGCAAAATCAATATCATTCCTCCATATCAGAATAATCAATACGAGTTATAATTTTTTTACAAGGAATGTTTTATAATAACAATGCAATCCTTATAACAATTGTAGCCCCCCCCCAAAATGTACACATTTTATGAAGAGCAAGTTTTGTTTTTTCTTATAAAGTATTTCAGATCCACAGAAGAGTGTTCTAAGTAAGCCACTGCTCAACTCCCTCAAACCATTGTCTTTTGAGGAACGTGACTTACTTTCCTCCCTGCCCTCCAGACCAGAAGGAGCCACTATGATTCATTTGTTTTCACTGTTGTATGGTGCTCTCTATGAATATACCAGTTGGTTATCTGTTCTATGACGTAAACTATGCCGTACCAAACTGTTGTACGCTTGTGTGAACATTTGTCTGGAGGGAAAATGACCAGGTCAACGGACAGACATGTCACTAGATGTTGCCAAAGTCTTATCTGCAGAAAACCTCAAAATTCCATTAAAGGCATAAAAGGAGATCTAAACTGCCAGAGAGATAACACGTTTATGGATAGGATGACGCCCATTTGCTCCAAACTAATTTCCTCCAATCCTCAAATCCAATAAAATTATGATCAATGCCAATGTAATTTCAGTTAAAAGAGCACCAGGATTGTTTTAAAAAGAACCTGACAAATTGATTCTAAATTTATAGGGAAGCATAAACGTCTACAGATAAGTAAGACACATTTGAAAAAGAAGCCAAGGCGGGGAGAGCAGTCCGATTAGACATTACGTTGCATTACAAGGTCCTGGCAATAAAAAGCAGCACGTCCCGGTTCCAGGGACAATGGAATCGAAAGCTCAGAAAACAGTGTCTGCATTCATGGGAAATGGGTGTTGTAGACGTGCTACCAGCCAGTATGACCAAGATGGATTATCTAAGCAGATAGGGTCAGAAGAATGGGCTTATTATGTGAGGAAAAATAAAGCTGGTTGTCTTCTTCATTCCACATAAACTAAAGGTATTAGTGTGAACAGTAATATCCTAGAACTAGTGGCAATATGTTTAAACACACACACACAATCTTGTGGTGGTGAAAAAGGATCTTAAAAATATAAACCACAAAGTGAAAACTTTATCAAATTTGTCATCAAAATTCAGGATTTTTTAAAGATTTTATTTATTTATTTGACAGAGAGAAAATACAAGCCGGGGGAGCAGCAGAGGGAAAGGGAGAAGCAGGCTCCCCGCTGAGCAGGGAGCCCGATGCAGGGATCCATCCCAGGACCCTGGGACCATGACCTGAGCCGAAGGCAGATGCTTAACCGACTGAGCCACCCAGGCGCCCCCAAAATTCTGGATTTCTATCTAATGAATAACACCACTATCAAAGTAAATAAGTGAGTGATATTTTCAAGCCCAAAATGAGCAAGAGATTAGTAGCTAGAGTAAGTAAGAAATTCCTGGAAATCAATGAAAGAAAGATGGGAACATGAAAGATGGGGAAAAGATGGAGAAAATTCGAGAAGAGATGCACAATCTGATGGGTGGGAAAGGACAAATTTTTAGAAAAATGAGGTGTCGCTTGGGCGCCTGCGTGGCTCAGTCGGTTGAGCAGCCAACTCTTGATTTCGGCTCAGGTCGTGAGATCGAGCCCAGTGTCGGGCTCCGTGCTCAGTGGGGACACTCCCTCCCTCGCCCTCTGCCACTGCCCGTCGCACTCACTTGCTCTCTCTCCCTTTCTCAAATAAATAAATAAATCTTTAAAAAATGAGATAACACATTACAGTCATCAGATTTGCAGAAATGAGCAAGTCTGATAGCACCCATTGTTGGTATGGGGGTCGGAAAGCAGGAATCTCTGTGCCCCTCTGGTGGAAGTATATGTGAATACAGGCATCTTGGGGAGAAACCTGGTGGCACTGAAGGAAAGTGAGTGTGCAAATGCCAGTCACCCCCTCCTGGGGGTGAACCTTACCTTCATAAGGGGAGAGTATGAGGCTGCTTGTCGTCAATCTTGCTCACTGTCGTAGGCAGAAGGAGGTAACCCACATGTTCTGTGCCAAAAGGAAGTACAATGAAACGTGGCTGACGTGTTCTATAGAATAGTATTCAGCCATTAGAAGCCATAAACTAGATGCATGGACAGCAACATGACTAGATCTTAAAGCTGTGGTACTAGGTCAAAAAAAGGAAGCAACAGAGCTAGTCCTGTACTAGGTATATATTCAGAGATCCGTCTGTATCCAAGGTAATGCGAAAACACTAGAGTAGTGCCCGGGGGGTGAGGAGAATGGGAGAGACAGGAGAAAGTATAAAGAACACGAGAAGACCTGCCTGGACTGCTGATGACTGCGCACCAGGAACCATGCAGTATGACTGAGACAACTCTCTGCCCTGAAGTCACAGGAAAAGGGAGGAATGGAAAGGAGTGGGAAAATAAAGGGCACAAGGAAAGCCAGCAAACCTGCCCACAGACAGGAAAACTGCCCTGTGCGCAGAGCAGAGCGAGTAGACTGGAAACAGTGCTGGGGCTCACAGCTATAATCATGGTTCTTGGGCTTTGGACAGATTCCTCCTACAGACCCCAGCTGGGTCCTCACAACCACCCATCCGGTTCTCTGGGGCACCTCAAATGCATGACAGCCCCTTACAGAAGCCAGCAGCCTGGCAGTTATGGGGGAGGGGGGGCAATGTCTTTTGCCTCCTGCCCCGAAGCAGACAGAGCTCGGCCGTCTCACATTCCCGGAGACAGGCAATGGTTACAGAAGCATTGAGCCCAAGGCGGATTGGGCTGAGGCTCCCCTGCAGGAGATAAGCGGTGGTTTACATCACAAACACTGTAACACAAATATTTTCCGACCACCCAGTGCGGCCACCAGAAGGATTCTTTCCCTCCAGGCAGCACCCAGTCCTCTTATTTGAGTCTTGGAGACTCCTAAACCTCCTTCTCCTCAAGCTTTTAAATTCCATTTTCTTTCTTAAGCAGTGCAATTTAATTTTGTCCCAGAGCCTCCATCTGTGCCTATCCACACCCCTAAATTACCTGGGCCACTCACCCTAAATTTAATCACACTTGGAAATACAGTGTAAGTGGCTCATTTGTTTTTTCAATTTCATACTCGGCCAAAAAAAAAAAAAAAAAGCCTTGCTTGTCCAAAACAGTAGATCAGTGCATAGGAAGTGAAACAAAGCCCCATCATCCAAATAATAATAATGGTAATAGTAAATATCTGAGAGGTTCGTTAAACCTGAACAGTGGGGTCTGGTTCCACTGCCATCAGGAGAGGATTGTGTCGTGGTCCCCGAGACTCCATGGACTTTCCGCGCGAATGAGACACATGACATGCAGAAGTCTGGCTAGTTCCTACACTTTATTAGACATCCTCTACAAGAAAGAAACATGGCCTAAACGTCAGAAAGGCAGGGGGCCTGGGTCCACCCGGGTCTCAGGAAGAGGCCCTGCGCCTGAAGCGTCCCCAAGCACGTGTCACAACTGAAACGGTCAGCTGTTAGTGCAAGCCCGACAAAGTTCTGCTTTCCCCCACGATGATTATTTCTGAAGCTCTAGCAGTCTTTATTGGAGTGGCGTTTTGTTCGTTTCTCAAAAGCGCGCGGGCTCCCCAGCATTGCCTGGGTGCCGTTGTAGCCCCTGGGTCTCCTGTGGCCAGCTCGGCCGCTCTCCGCTGCAGCGCCCCTTGGACGCCCCGCTCGGCCGCTCAGCCCGGCAGGAACCCGCTTCGCAGACCGCGAAGCAGGGGAGTCTGCGGGGACGCAGGCGGCGAAGGCGGGGTCCCGCTCCGCGGCAGGGCGGAGCCGGGCAGGTGCGCACCCGGAGCGGCAGGTGCAAAAGCGGCAGGTCCGAGCGCCGGGCCCGCCTCCTCGCTGCCCGCCTCCCCGCGGGCTCCCGGCTGCACCTGCCGGTGGTGGCGCCCGGAGGGACAGCCGGGGGAGCCCCGCGCCGCCGGGACACCCTCGGAACGCAGGGGGCTGTGCGGCGGGATCTGCTTGTCCCGGGGGAACGTCGCCGGCTTCCTGTCCTCGGAGAGGGCCAGGCTCCGGCTGGCGGTCTGAGCGTCCAGCGTGACGGCCCCTGCGGGAGGAGAGCGGGGCCTGGGGGGATGCGCCCTAGAGCGCACGCCATGCGTGGGGCACTGCGCGGCCTGCCAACGCCTGGCTTCCCCTCGGTTTCCGGACAGAGAACGGCGGACTTCCGCCGGCTCGCAGGTGCTCCTGCGCTGGGGGGGTTCGCTTCTCAGAGCGCGGCCGGAGACCAGCGGCATCCGCTTGGCCAGGGAGCCGGCGAGAACTGCAGAATCCTGGGCCCCGTCCCAGACCTACTGAATCACAGTCTGCCTTTTAACAAGACCCCCTGGTTGTTTCTTCTGCACGTTAAGTTTGAGACGCAAAATGAGGTGATATTTGTGGAAATAGTTTCTAAACTAAGCACCATCTTCGAAGTAAATGCTATTTTTTTTTAAATTATACAATATTGGGGCGCCTGGGTGGCTCAGTTGGTTAAGCGACTGCCTTCGGCTCAGGTCATGATCCTGGAGTCCTGGGATCGAGTCCCACATCGGGCTCCCTCTCAGCAGGGAGTCTGCTTCTCCCTCTGACCCTCTTCCCTCTCGTGCTCTCTGTCTCTCATTCTCTCTCTCTCTCAAAATAAATAAATAAAATCTTTAAAAAAAATAAAATAAAATAAAATTATACAATATTTGTGTAAGTCGACAGAGTCTGGCACAATGCTGGGCAGAACACACACACACCCAACCAAGACCTTCGTAAGTATTTTTGAGGAAATAATATCCATACACGGAACAAACACTAACAGCACTAAGCTCTTGACATGTATGCATTCCTTTATCTCGTGGCTGCTCATGGGGTCAGGACTAGTGTGTGTTCCATTTTAAGGTGAACAAACCGGAACCAGGAGGTACACTGGCTTGCCCATGGCTCATAACCAGCAAGAGCGAGAACAGAGGACCCAGGGATCAAGCTCCAGACTTCATATATGTAATTGCTCTGTTTGCTGGCTTGGATTGAGTGGAGGGAGGAGAGAATGGATCCCCAAACCCCCAGCTGTTTACCTGAGTCTGTTTCCAGATGGTGTGCCAGGTTTTCTGAGGGAAACAGAAACAGAAAGAGATGTGACTTGTTATTTCCCACAGGCATTCCCAAGGGCAGTGCTGGGAACCATGTGAGCACAGGGGTGGGGGACGGCCTTCTGCTCTACGCCTTCTGCTGGGGTCTACTGAGACAGAAGCAGTCCTCACCTGCCTGGTCGCTCAGCCCAGTGCAGGCCCCTGGGGAGAGAAGATGCTCTCGGGATGGTCCCGCTGGGCAGAGTGGTACCACCAAGGGAAGGCTTAAGGGAAGGAAGACACCGTGAACCAGGCTTGGCGGGTAGGGGAAGACGGTGATGCGTGGAAGACACTGCTGTTCCGCCATCAGGGGATGGGGAAACCTGCTGCCCCTCCTCTTTACCTGAGAAGGTCCTCAGCATCACTGGGAGGGGGAGTATTTTCCTGTGGAGATCTCGGATCTTCTCGACAAGGTCTGGAGAAATGGTCTCTGGACTCACAAAAGTCTTTGTTTCATACCTACAGACAACCAGTCCCTTAAGAATTAGAGGTCGGTCCTTTAAGAGAATGTTTGGGGTCTGTGGAGGCTGCACGGGGCAGAGGTCATTACCCTGTTTGCCTCTAGAGGACAGTACAGTGTCACTTTAAAAAAAAACGACCTTAAACTCCTTTCTAATTTGGGTGCTGTTCATCACTAGGGGAAAGGGAGTTGGGGCGGGGAGGGGATGAGAGAAAACACGAATCAGCTCCGTCCCTGCCTGTCCCCCAAGGCGTGACCGCGAGCAGGCTCAGGGTCCTCGTAGGCGTGACCACGAGCAGGCTCAGGGTCCTCGTCACACCAGAAGACCTGCACAGCCCTTTAGCTCCACACCTCTAACACTCTTGGCAAGTTTGGGAGACACCTCCTGAGTCCGGGACCCCGGGTCCAGGTCCTTATGGCTGCATGAGAAGGGTTCCTTACGGGGCGAGCGCGGAGAAGGCGCAGGTGCTCCCAGCAGGGGACACACGGGACCAGCGGCTGCCCTTTGTGGTGGGGTCTGTGACCCGGAAGGACACGCAGCAGCTGAGTGGGGGACATGAGTGAAAGGACAGGCTGGTCTTCCCCCGCTCCGCTCCGTGCCTACCACAGTTTAGAGACGGTATCTCGCCTCGGAGTTACAGTTTACATGCTGTTCAATACGGACTCGAGCACCAATAACTTCGGGAATTAAACAGATGTTCCTGCATCAGCCTAAAAACATGATTATGGCTTATAACTTCACCTCCAGGGGAAAACTGTATCCCTGGTGCCAAACAACCAGTTTAAAAATGGACTCGTAGGGGCGCCCGGGTGGCTCAGTCGTTAAGCGTCTGCCTTCGGCTCGGGTCATGGTCCCAGGGTCCTGGGATCGAGCCCCGCATCGGGCTCCCTGCTCCGCGGGAAGCCTGCTTCTCCCTCTGCCACTCCCCCTGCTTGTGCTCTCTCTCGCGCTGCGTGTCAAATAAATTAATAAAATCTTTTAAAAAAAATTAAAAAAATGGACTCTTAGAGCACAAACTTTTATGTGAAGGCTGTGTGTGTGTGTGTGTGTGTCAAAGTGAATTTGCATTTCTGTGGGGGGCAGGGTAGGGAGTGACCCCCCCTCAGTCTCCGTGTCCAGGGGAACAGAGGTGAGAAGAACAAAGTGTACACGCCAGGCAGAAAGGAGGCCCTACCTGCTCTGGTTGCCTCTGACATCCTACAAAAGAAAAAGAACATGCACTCAGTGTCCACAAGTCCTTCCCACCGAGACTCTGCACAGCCTGTCGCCTTAGCATCTGGCCTCAAAGCTCTCTCTTCCAGAGAGTTGTATCCGCTCTGTTACATCAGGCCTCCTGACCCACTTGGGACTCTGCTCAGGTCATTTGAGCTGACTTCTTGGTCCTAGCCTTCTCTCAGAACTGTGTTCTACCTCCAGGGCTTGAGGGATGCTGGAGAACAGGGTCCAGGCTTGACTTACCCGCCGGACCTGATGTGAAACGGGAAGATACAACGGTAGTCACACGGATCTGTGTGTGCCAGGGACCGTGCTACACGTTCTGTATGGATTGTTTCTTATACTCCTTGCACGAGCTCTGTGAGGGAGGTGCTGTTATTATCCCCCACGTTTAGGGGGCTCACAAGGCTCACCACGGTCACACGGCTGGAAGAGCCTGCCCTCGAACCCAAGGCCCTCTGACTCCAAAGTCCTTGACACGACCACGGTGGGTGGCAGTCATCCAGCCTTCCTGGGTCTGCACGTCTGTAAGCTCTCCAGGCCAAAGGAACCCAAGGACTGGCAGTCCCTCCCCGCAGAAACAAGGTTCGCTTGCCCTTCCCGCCTGTGTCCAGCAGCCCCGGCCCTCTGCTGGCATCCCCGCCTGTGCAGCCCCTCTCCTAGCCCACAGGGTGGTGGGGACGGCCTCACTTGTAGCAGGGCCCTGGCTGGCTGCTGACTCTGCTCCTTCAGCTCCTGGGCCTGGGCCCCAAGCCTGGCGACCTCCTCAGATGACCTGAAGGTGTATTCGTCTCTCTCCATGTGGAGCTGCGTCTCCAGCTCCCTCAGCCTGGCCTGCAGCAGACGCTGCTGGTCCATCAGCTCCTGCTGCAACCTCTCAAACACTGTGTCCACCTGCTGTTTCTTGCTTTCAATGTGGGTCTGCAAGGGGTGGAAAGATAGACAGGGCCAGGAAAAAGATCAAGAGGCCGGCCTGCAGGAGGATCATCTGGGTCTTCCTGATTCAGAGACTAGCTCCCTCAGTACTACGTTAGAAGCAGGTGGGTCTCAGAATTGACTCAGCAGCAGTGAGGGCTATATGCTTTTGTCTTACCTGGGGATTCTAACAACAATGCCCCATACGCCCTCAGAGCCGTGTTGAACTTTTCAAGCATCCTTCCCCATCTACAACACCGTCCTAACCCCACCATGCCTTCCCTAGAGTCAGGAGGAGCAGGGGGTAGTCGTCCATCGGAGAGCCACTGAAGGAAACAGGCCGTGGTTCGAGTCAGTGCAGAGGGTGCGGCATCGCTCTCGGGCCCTGACGTCGCCTTCTGCGCAGCATGCTTGGGAGGGAGCCGAGGGGTGCTGCGGATCTCTTCCTGCCCCCAGCTCTGCCGCCTTGCTCAGGGCACCAGAAGTTCTCAGACTGCGGCTTTCCTCCGGGATGACTGAGGAGCTCACCAATACACCGCTCTCCCACAGTGGGCAGGCCAGCTTCAATCAGGACTGGAGGCAGACACGGGTACCAGCTTCTGCCCCACCCTTCCTGTCTGAGGGCAGTGCTTTCGGGCACACAGACTGGGATGGGAAGGGTGGCTCCGGGTCAAGACACCCAGCTTCTAGGGACGCCTGGTGGCTCACTCGCTGAAGCATCTGACTCGATTTCAGCTCAGGTCAGGATCTCAGGATCGTGAGATCCAGCCCCGTGTCGGGCTCTGAGCTCAGCGGGGAGTCTGCTTGTCTCTCTCCCTCTGCTCTTCCCTGCTCTCTCTCTCTCTCTCTCTCAAATAAATAAATGTTAAGAGAGAGAAAGATCCAGGTTGTAGCCATGTCCTCGTGAACATGGGCTTTGCTCTCTGTGGACCGTCACGCTCCTGGACCAGTTCTCGGCTCTGTAGAATGGCTGGTAAGATGGGTCTTGGGCTAGATGTCAGAACCATCTCCAGCTGCGAAGCTCTGGGATTCCATAGCCTTGACCCCAAATGCCCTCACACAGATGCAGGGAAGTGAATGAGAACAGTACAAAAGTACCAGACAGCAAGCTTCCCCAGAATCTGCTCAGAAAACCCCCAAGAGAGCAGGTGGCAGAAGCACTTTACCAGAAGCGCTTGGAGCTTCCCGTCTTCCCGCCTCCGTGTGTCCTCCATCTCTTTCTTCTCCAAGCTCAGAGCTTCCGACTGGTTCCGGAGATGATCCTGTGCGGAGAAGAATGGGCAGGAAGAGGTGGCTGAGTCTACAGGTCTTGTCTGCTGAGTCCCAGGCGCACGGCTGATGGTGAGAGAGTCAAAGGTGAACAGCGCCCGTCTGTGTCCCTGCAGAGATTACCTCGAGGTCGCCTCCAGCCTGGTCACTCATGGCTGAAGTACGGACAGACAAAGGCGGGGTCAGTGTGCCAGTGTGCTGTCAGAGACAGCAGGCATTTACAGTGGGGTGGCGAGGACCACATGCCCCGACTGTACACTTAGAAATTGCTGAAGTGGTTTAAAAAGAAAGAGTTCGGGGAGAGGAGAGCAGTCTGGGAGGAAGAGTCAGAAGCAGGAAAGCGCAGAGACGTCCAGGAGACAGCAGGTGCACACGGGCCAGTCCGCCGGACACGCGGTGCCTGGGGGGGCGGCTGGGGCTGAGGTGGACAGGCGGGGTCCACGTCCTCAACACAGGGCATTGGTGCCGCGCTGATGAGGATGGGCTTTCCCGGCGCTGGGGACCCCAGGAGGGTTTGGCACCGGGGTGCACCATGGTCTGCTGTGTGTTTTGGGGGATTGGAGGGTGCTTCAGAGGGTGAGAATGGAGACAGGGAGTGCATTCGAGGCTGTGCAAGGTCTGGCTGAGGACGGCGACAGCCTGCATTTGGAGGTGGTTGTGGGGACAAGGCCGAGTTCAAGATTCAAGAGGTACTTCTAAGGAAATCACTTCTAGAGCTGGACACTGGATGGCCAGAGCGATCTGAGGGCAGCCCGGGGTGGGGGGCTCCACGTCGGGCCTCCCATTCTCACAAGGAAGAGTGGCACCTGCAGGCTGCCCTTGCTGGCCCCTCGCGTCCCTCTGAGCCCAGCAGTCTGGGCCTCGGTAGGTCCCACAACCAGTGTGCGTCCTGGGAGACTTGCAAGTTCACCCTGCCCATGGTGGGAGAAGACCCTCCCATGCACTCATGCCTGCTGGTGTGTCTCCTCCTTGTGTCTCTACCCCACAGTTCTGTCCCGTAGGGCCCCCTGAGGCGGGAGTCCCGCTAAGCCTGGGAATGGCCCCAGGTCCCCGGGGAACCGCGGTCCTTCATCCAGATCCCTATCGATTCCCTTCACTATGGATGACGGGACACTGTCCCAGCCCACACAGGCCCAAGGAAAAGCCATCCATCTTACCCGGTAGGGCTGAACCGCTGCGTCGAGGACACCCACGGGGTGGGTGCGGTGGGAGGGACCCTCCCGACAGACCATACAGAGGAACTCAGCATCGACCTTGCAGAAGAAGTAAATCTTCTCAGCGTGCTGCTCACAGCGTGTCTCCTCCAGAGGGTCCAGGAGCACAGGGGCCACGAGAGTCTCCGTGGGCTCCTTCTCCTGGCAGATTGCACAGAGCAGCCCCTGGCCGGAAGGCTGGGCCCCCATCTGGGAGGGCGGGAGGACGTGCAGCCCCACAGAAGGTGTGTCCACAGGCGCTGGTCACTGCATCCTTCTGGGGTCCCCTGCAGGCCAGACAGGTGGTCTCCTCATGGGAAGGCGTGGAGGACATCCCGGTGCCATCCCCAGCCTGTCCACGGAAGCCTCTGCCTCAGGCCACACAAATCCCCGATCCCTGAAATTAGTCACTTCTGCGTGAGTCATGGAGGGAAGACAATAGGAGGCTGAGAGCAGAAAGCAGGAGGGTTCAGCCTGGGAAGCCACCGGGCGCCACCTGGTCACCACCCATCAGCTGAGTGGGTTCAAACTCCAGGGCACCTCGAATGACCCAGCATTCCCAGCAGGGGCCTGGTCAGCCCGTTCTCCACTCCTTCTGTCTCCTTCCGTCCCTGGGGTGGGGAGCCCAGCGTGTATGAGCTCACAGGGATATGGGTTTCCTGGAACCGCACCCTTGGCCACTGTGGGGTGGAGACACAAAGAGGAGACACAGCTTCCTGCCATTGGAACAGGTGGGAGCCGTCAGCTTCTGGCTCTGAGGTGTGCTCTCAGCATCAAAGTCCAGACTGCGGTGGGAGGCGCGGTCGGGGCCCCTCCTCTGCTTCCTTAGCTCCTCATCTCATCCACCCAGGCTGGCCTCCTAAACTCTACTGCTGCTAGGCCTGAACCCAGTGCCCCCAAACACGGTGACACTGGGTCACAGAGTCCTTCGATTTTAGTTTTTAACTTCAGGCGGGAGAAGGCAAGAAACTAATACAAATGATTTATGTCCCTAAGATTTAGAAAACTCAGCCCAAGCGATAACAGACTTAATAAGTACATTTATGCGGGCTCAGTATTTTCCTATTACTGCACCCAATCAGATAACAGCCCTCTGGGACAGGCATGATCACCTCCATTTTACAGAAAGACACGTGAAGTGACTTCCCCTCGGTCACGGAGCTGGAGAGCTGCGAGGCGGGGTCAGTCCGAGTCTCCTGGCTTCGGCCGTGGTCCCCCCGTGGCCCTCCCCCCACAAGACGGTCCACACCTCGGTTCTTCATCTGCGCCCTGCATCTGTGCGTAAAACCCAAGGAAACTCCCACTCTGACGCTAGCGATCCGCCCTGCACTGTTTCCCTCGCTCTGAACCTGAGCTGGTGTGTGTACCCCGTTTCCTTCCCGCCCGCCCTGGCCCTCCCGGGGGTGCAGCCCCTCCCCCACCCTGCACGGGAGCCCCCAGCCCCACGGCGCCGCCGAGCACAGGAATGCAGCCGGTCCCAGCGGAGATTGCGCGGCCGTCCGAACTACACATCAGTTAGAAGGAACGCAAAATATCTCATTACTAATTCTTAGACTGATTACACTGGAAATGATCATATTTGGGGCTAAATAAAATAAATATTAAAATTAACTTCTTTTTTTCAAATGTGGTACGCGGAAACTAGCTGCACAGGTGGCTCACGTGGTGTTTGTGTGAGGGCAGGGCTCTGGGACACTCAGATCTGAGTGCACATTGCGCCCCCACCTTCCCACGCACACGCGGGGCTGGCCGCGCGAACAGCGAACTCACCGCCGGGAGGCTCCGCTCCAGAGCGGCCAGGGGGGCTCGGGGCGCGCCGCGGACGGACGCAGGCCTGGGGTGTGAGTCATTAACAGGTGCGGGCTGCTGCGGGTTTCCTTCCTGCTCCCGCACAGGGCTTATTCCAACCTCCGTGGAAGCCGGTGCCCCGCCGGTGAAGTGCTCCGCGAGCATAGCCACCTTATCTGCGCCCTCGCGCTCCCTGCGCAGGCTGATACCCGTATCTCCCTGGAGACAGCTGGTCCTACTGCGGGGGGGGGGGGGCTGGTGTGGCGTCTCTGCTCCCCGACCAGGTCCCCCTCCCACCCCAGAGCAAGGACTATTTCTGTCGGCTGTGGACGGCCAAGATACCACTTCACCTTTACCGTGAGCGTGTGCGGATGCACGGGAGCGACGCAGGGCCCCCGGCTGTGGGCAGCAGCCCGGACACTAACTGAGGCCCTGTCTGGAAGGCCGTGGCCCCTCCTCCCTCCCCCTCCTGGAGCGTGTGTGTCCGCTCCTTTTGGAGGAGGACGGGAGGACCTGGGCATGCAGGTGGGCGCCCTGCCCTTGGGCGAGCATGTCTGCGTGTGCGTGTGCGTGCGTGCGCTCGTCCACGACCGTGAGGCCGTTGGCGTGTATTTAAGGCGGGCCGTGTCTGGCTGTGCGGGGTGAATGTGTGTCCTTGCTGTTCTCCCAGATCCTCCCCGCTCAGCCACGCACAGACGGTAACCTTGAGGAGCCAACGGGCACAGCCACGCCATGGCCTCAGCCGCCTCTGTGACCAGCCTGGCGGACGAGGTCAACTGCCCCATCTGCCAGGGCACCCTGAGGGAGCCGGTCACCATCGACTGTGGCCACAACTTCTGCCGGGGCTGTCTCACCCGCTACTGCGAAATCCCAGGCCCAGACCCCGAGGAAGCCCTCACCTGCCCCCTCTGCAAGGAGCCTTTCCGTCCTGGAAGCTTCCGGCCCAACTGGCAGCTGGCCAGCGTGGTGGAGAACATCGAGCGCCTCAAGCTGGTGTCCACCCCGGGCTCAGACGAGGAGGACGTCTGCCAGGAGCATGGGGAAAAGATCTACTTCTTCTGTGAGGACGATGAGACGCAGCTGTGTGTGGTGTGCCGGGAGGCCTGGGGACACCGGGCACACACCGTGCGCTTCCTGGAGGACGCAGCAGGGCCCTACAGGGTAGGACAGGGGACGCAGGGTCTCCCTCTTCCCGTCCCCCCTCAGGCAGGGGCCCGGGTGTGCGTGCTGAAGCATGTTCTGTGTTGTTTACTTATGGCCGACACAGACCAGGGCTTCAACAAGGACATGCGGGGTGGCTGAGTGACCACAGTGGGTCAGGCAGGCGCTTCTGAGGATGTCCGCGTTTGGGGGAACAACTGTGCAAATAGTGTGTGATGTGCACGAACGTGTGCATGGTTCCCGTGCATGTGGTGTTTGGGGGGAGGTCTGCGTGCTTGTATTTTTAAATAAACTAGTGTTTATATGCAGGGCCAGTAAACATGTGGTGTGCAGTCTTATCCACCAATAACTGCCTGCTCGTTTTAGTCATTTACACCATATGCTCTAGTAAAAGTGGGCCTCTGTCTGTGCCGATTAGTTCCCTAGCGTTTGACGGTGAGAGCGTTAATTATATTTCTGAATGTCCCTATGTGGACATTTGTGTGTGAATACCTGTTCCTAACTCTATTCTAGAGCGAGCAGTTTTTAAAACAGAGTGTCGACTCTTTATATTATCCAAGTTTCTTCTCCCATCTGGAATCATACACAGAAAATGGATTCTGTTCACAAGAAAGGATTGTGTGTATATGTTCCCTTTGAGATATGCGAGCAAGTTGGAACACTTTCAAAGAAGGGCATATCAGGCTGGGGACAGATCCCAGATCTAACTTACCAAAGAAAAACAAACCAGGGATTTTAAGCTGAAGGCTGCCAGGCTCAGATGGGGAAACCGAGTCGCGGACTGTGCCGGCACAGGGAGAAGGGACAGCTCTGGTCAGAGTTCCTGGAGAGCAAAGCTAGAAGGAAAAGGCCTGGAGAGGGCCAGCTGCCAAGGACAGTCCGGGTGCAGGTGTTGGCGGCGAGGGGAGGGCTCACTCCCTCCCTCGGGCGCGTCCGTCCTGGAGGCAGCGGGCCGACCCCTCTTCACAAGTCATTGCTTCCATGTAACATAACTTCATGCTCTTTCTCTCCAGGAGCAAATACAGAAGTGTCTTGAGTGTCTAAGAAAAGAGAGAGAGGAGATTCAAAGAATCCAGTCAAGAGAAAACGAGAGGATACAAGTCCTCCTGGTAGGTCTCCGTGCCCTCCCGGGACCGGCCTGCCCGGGGATCCAGCGCCCCCCTGAAGCCAAGGCAGGGTAGCCAGCGTAGGCGGTGGGAAGTCGCTCTAGTCCCAGCACTGACCAACTAGCACGTCTCTGTTTTTGTGTGAGGTGGGGAGTAGAAGTCGGCAGGCCCTCCCACACTTGCTGAAACGCTGTAAGGACCGAAGGCGATTGGGCCCACGAGGCAGCCTCGTGCTGTGCGGACAGTGCAGGGACCTGGGGCCGGGGCTCCGATTTTCCACCGAGCGTGGAGGACGTGGATGTGGGCCAGAGGGAGCCAGGGGTGGACAAGTAAGGAAACAGAGGGATCACCCCCCGGCCTCCCCCCTACCGTCCCTTCAGGGTCAGGTGGCCACCAAGAGACAGAAAGTGATCTTCGAGTTCGCACATCTGAGCCAGTTCCTGGAGGAACAGCAGAGCGTCCTCCTGGCCCAGCTAGAGAAGCTGGATGCGGACATCCTGAAGCAACAGGATGACTTTGACGTCCTGGTCAGCGAGGAGATCAGCCGGTTCAGCAGCCTGATCTCCGAACTGGAGGAGAAGAACAGGAGGCCGGCCCGGGGGCTCCTGACGGTGAGACCTGCCCCCCCCACAGGCCAGCCTGACTCCTGGCATCTCACTGTCCAAGCCACCTGCCCTTCATCCCGTGTCCCTGCATCCCGTGTGCAAGACAGGTCCTGAACTCCTCTCCCTGCTCCCCGGACAGTTCCCCGGTCACTCTGCTCCCTGGCCTCTCACTGTCCGGCCCACATCCATCTAATCGGGGGGCTCCTTCCCTTACCTACCTGTCAGGGGCTCTGTGAGGATCCAACGGGAAAATGCAGTGGAAACTAGCAGTCTGGAAAGCATCATGTGCTCTGCAAACATGTCACGTGCTGTTTCTGAGGCAGACTATGTTGTGTCGCCACCCTCAGGAAGTTCTTCCTGGTCTGTGGCACCTGAGGGAAGATATCGGGGTCCCAACAAGGCATCAGAAGGGCAGCATGATTGGGGGCCACACTCCTGGTTTATGGGACTGAGAGCAGGGGCCTTGGCCTCCAGCTGCAGGCAGGTCCCTCCACTGTGTGGATGCATGAGATAAAGGAGTGGCCTCTGTGACCCCAGACACCTCATCAATCCCAAAACTCTGTGCCTACAGGATCTTGGGCCCTTTTTCCTATGTGGGAATGTGGTATTTGTCTTTGCTGAATTCCTCTCCCCTCTCTCTCCTAGGACATCAGAAGTACTCTGATAAGGTAAGCTGCCATTCCGTCATCCTCCGAGGGCGCGCACACAAACTGCTTCGCGCATCTGGCTATTGCACGCCGGCAGGGCACACCTTCATGCATGCGCATGCATTTGCACGGGCAGTTGCCCAAGCCTGGGCAGTGGGGTGCGTCCCTGAGGAAGTGTGTCTGCCTGTGTCCGTCTCCGTGCCCAGTTCGCAGGCAGCCAGCTGGGTCTGGAGAATTCCCAAACCCCACTATTTCTGTGCCCCTAGATGTGAAACCAGAAAGTGCCGGAAACCAGAGGCTGTGTCCCCTGAGCTGGGCCAGAGGATTCGGGACTTCCCCCAGCAGGCCATCCCTCTGCAGAGGAAGATGAAGATGTTTCTGGGTAAGAGGACCCCAGGGCTCCCCGCGGGTGGGAGTCCATGAAGCCCAGGCCTAGGAACGCCCCCCATGCTCCACTGCCAGAGGCTTGAGTGGCCTTTGGCTGGTACCCTTCTGGTGCCTTCCTTGGCTATCCTTACTTGCACATCTTTATAAAATCTGCCTATCGGGATAACATGACACTGAACAGAGATAGTAAAGATGAAGATTTCTGAAAAAAAAAATTAACTGTCTTGAAAAGTAATTACACAAATAAATCTGATCCGCTGACCTTGAACAATATAAAAAGTAATGATTAACAAAACCTGCCATTCTCAATAATTTAAAAAATCTACAGAGGCCCTTGTAATACATGATAAGTTTCTGATGATGAACACGGTTAATTAATAACCAGAGATAGCCTTTCTCCGCACTGTGGGGCGGCTGACTCTCTCTCGCATCCCGCCATCCCGCGGGCGCTCCAGGCCCCTGGGGGGGACTCTTCCGGCTTTCCTGGAACCGGCGGTGCTGGTGGGAAAGGGCGTGATAATGGGGAATGAGTCAGGCGCGCCGCTCTCCGCCAGCACCCTTCGGACGCCCGCAATGATGCCGCCCCGTGGCCCGCCCCATAGCAGCGTCGCCCCGGGCGAGCCCACACTCAAACTCGGGGCTGGCCGTGACGGACATTGTCCTCTAATCAAACCTAACCTTCGACTATTCCCAAAATTGTTTCCAAGGACAGTAAGAAATAAATTAAGCCCCTTATCCATTCATGCGGTGGATGGGATCTCATCCTGGTTTGTATCCTCTTTACAGAGAAACTCTGCTTCGAGTTGGACTATGAGCCAGGTAGGCAGCCTGGGACGCGAGGGAGTGGGGGGGCCGCGTTGCGTAGGGTTCCCGCCCACGCACGCCCATGCGCGCGGGCACACACATCCCCCCGGCTCGGAGCGCGTGTTCTCATCTGCTCGTCACAGGCCGGGAGAAAGGTCAGACCAGAACAGGACGAGGGCTATCAGGAGGGGCTTCCTGGGCGAGGGGACTTTGATCTGGGTTTAGGAGCCCATTGTTGGAGTCCCTGGAAACCGCCCCCCGTCAGGTGGAGCTTCACAGTTAGGGTAGCTGGAGGGAAGGCGGCCGGTGGCAGGACGCCACCCAGGGCGTCTGTCAGCCAGAGACCCGGGGAGTCGCGTTGTTGGAAGGGACTCTCTGACCCGTCGCCACATCGGAATTTACGAGTGTCTCAACTTAACGGATATTTTTTTTTTTTAAAGATTTTATTTATTTATTCGAGAGAGAGAGAGAGAGAGAATGAAAGATAGAAAGCACGAGAGGGAAGAGGGTCAGAGGGAGAAGCAGACTCCCTGCTGAGCAGGAAGCCCGATGCGGGACTCGATCCCGGGACTCCAGGATCATGACCTGAGCCGAAGGCAGTCGCCCAACCAACTGAGCCACCCAGGCGCCCTCAACTTAACGGATATTAAAAGCCACACTGGGCAGGGTGCCTGGGAGCTCTTCGTGCTAAGAAGTGGTCCTCTGACTCTGGTGGTCTTAAAATGACTGAGGCAGCAGAAATAACCCGCGGACGAGCCAGAGAGCTTGCGGGAGCGGGTGGTGAACGCGCCCTGACGTTCGGGTGGAGCCGAGGCGTCTCCGCCCTCTGAGATCTCAGACGCGGGAGCGGGGCGGGTGTCGGCGGCAGCGGGCGCGGCCTTGGGAGACCACCCATTTGCCGGGACAGAGCTGCTTTCCGAGGACCGCGCTGAGCCGATGATGGCGGGCGTGCGGGAGCCAGGCGTCCTGTGGGCAGGCGGTAACACGCGCCAGTCACCAGCTCAAAGCCCAGACTCTGCTCGGGGTGGTCTGGGGTGAAGTCGGAGCGAGGGGATTTCTACCACCGTCCCGGGTGACGCCCACGCAGCCGGTCCACCCGGACTCTCGCGCACACACACGCGACGTGGAGAAGGACACTAGCGGGTGGAGGCAGGGCTTTTAGGGCCTCCTGCAGGTGATAGATGTCTGCTGACGCCTCTGTCCCCCGCAGCTGACATCTGTCTGGACCCCCAGACCTCCCACCCCAAGCTCCTCTTGTCTGAGGACCAGCGGCGCGCCCAGTTCTCCTACAAGTGGCAGAACTCGCCAGACAACCCCCAGCGTTTTGACCGGGCCACCTGTGTCCTGGCCCACGGCGGCTTCACAGAGGGGAGACACACGTGGCTGGTGAAGGTGGACCTGGCCCACGGCGGCAGCTGCACGGTGGGCGTGGTGAGCGAGGACGTGGCGCGGAAGGGGGAGCTGCGCCTGCGGCCGGAGGAGGGCGTGTGGGCCCTGAGGCTGGCCTGGGGCTTCGTGTCGGCGCTGGGCTCCTTCCCCACGCGGCTGGCGCTGGGGGAGCAGCCGCGGCAGGTGCGCGTGTCCCTGGACTATGAGGTGGGCTGGGTGACTTTCGTCAACGCTGTCAGCCAGGAGCCCATCTACACCTTCACGGCCTCCTTCACCCAGAAGGTCTTTCCCTTCTTTGGGCTCTGGGGCCGAGGGTCTAGCTTCTCCGTGAGTTCCTGAGTCACCCTCCCGTCAGACGAACTTGACCCTCCGGGCTCACCTGGCGTTGGGCAGAAGCGCGGCAGACTAAGGACTTGCAAGGACAAAGTGGGTGACCATTTCCCTGACCCCCAGGGGCCAGGGGCTCCGGGGACGTGGCCCAGCGGTCCTAGCAGACACAGGAGACCCAGGTCTGGAGCCAGCTCCAGACCAGCCTGTGGCCGACCGTTGTGTGATCTTGGGCACCTGTCTTCATTACATCTTCTTCCAGAAAAATGAGGGTTCATATACATGAACCTTCAAGAAACATTTCCTGGGTGCTACCTGTGAACCAGGCAGGATGGTCACCACTGGTGGTATGAAAATGAAAGGAAAGTCTGTTTGATATCTGGAGGAACTCAGGGACCAGAGGCAGGGAGAGGACATGGCAGGGGGGCGGCAGGTGCTGGGTGGGCTGCCCTGTGTGTGGGGAGCTCAGGGCAAGGGGCCCAGCAGCAGGGAGGGCTTCCTGGGGAGGACAGCTGTAGGGGACTGGAGAGCTGAGTCAGGGGAGGAGGGCTGGCAGACACCCGGCTGGCTGACCCTGCAGCCCTTGGACGCTGGGCCATGAGACCCTGACGCCAGCTGCGGCCTCCCTCCCCCGGGAGCTCGTCCGGCTGAGAGACGGGAGGCCTGGCCACCACAGGGTAACCCACAGCCCGCACTCTCCCCTGCGGAGAACCCCGTTCCTGCTGCGGTGAGCTCACCGTCTGAGCTCGAGCGCGGGAGGGTGGGAAGGGATGAGGCTCAGAGAGCTCCACTGCAGGGGCAGAGACGGCAGGGCGTGCTGGGTGACCTGCAGCAGCATTGACGAGGCTCTGGGGCTGCAGGGATGAGCCTGGAATTCGGAGAATGACGTCAGCTGCCCCAGGGTGGAATGTGAGATCCTAGGCCCAGTAGAAGTATGGTCTCCACACCTTTTGTTTCCTGGTTGCTGTCTTTCACTCTGTTTAAAGGTACCACTCACTGACAACCTCTTTAATACGATGTGTTTGCTCTGCTTGGACACAAACTGAAGTGTTCGGTCACCTCCCCACCGGGGCCCAGGAGGCCTGTGCAGGCTGAGGCCCTGGGCGCGGGGGTCTGCCTCTCCTCCTCCGGCCAGCAGGTGGAGGAGACGTGGGCCCAGGGGCAGGGGCTGCACAGGGGCTGACTGCTTCCTCTGGGCATGTTCTCATTGTCTATAAAATACAGTCACAGAAAATGTTGTATATTCCAAACAATAGGCACATTTGAGTTTCTGTATGATGATAATACACATCCAAAGCCCCAAACCTGGGGTTCCACCAAGACGTGGATTGTGCTTTTCTGTGTATTTTTACTGGCGTTAGCAGGGCCTGTTAAATGACAATTGGCCTACAGGGTCTCCACCTGTGGGAGGACGGGCGTGCTTTATGTCCCCTAACCTTGGTCACTGCAGGAGGTGCTTCCTGCTGGTACCTTCCGGTGAAGCGTGGGTGTCTGCACAGCTGAGATCACGCAGCCAGGATTGGAAGCCCGTCTGACTAAGGGGCCTGAACCACTGCGGGGCACACCTCGTTCAGAAACAGGTGCGCAGGGTCCCGGTGAACAAGCTAACGGCGGCCACACCCCCCACGAGGGGCCTGCTTCCCGAAAGACAACTTGTTTCCCTCGCTGAGAAATACAACCGCTAGTGAGTGAAGACACTCAGACTGCGCGTCCAACCCTCAGTTCTGCTGACCTGACCTGGAGCGGGAGCCTCCGTGCAGAGGAGGAGGGTGGATCCCTCCACGGGTGACTCGGTGACTCAGCCTGGCTGCTCTGCTTGTCCCAGATCTGCCCTTGGGGCCCCTGCCCTCCCCAGAAGTGCTCGGGTCTAAGCCCCTCCTCCCGCCACCCTCCCCAGGCCCCATGGGAGGGATGCAGCCCTGTCCTGACCGCTGTGGGCTCACCTGAGGTTTTCACACCCTACGTGGCAGCGGCGCTTTCTAGTACTGAGAACGGAGCTTCCTCAAGTTAGTCCCAAAAAAGAAAAGCTTGTTGTAAGAACAGACGTGTAAAGAAGGAAATGGGGTTTTCCACCATTAGCCAGGCGTCGTGGGAAGCTGTGGCCGGGGTGGTGAGGGGGCAAAACCAGGCCTCGGAGGAAGAGCTAGGAAACACACATGGAACTCTCCTCTGACACGTCCCCCAACAGCCGATGAGGAGGGTGTTGGCACTAGTAAGCCCGCTGTGTACGTGAGAGAACAAGACCTGTGCAGGCTGACCAGCCGTCCCAAATCAGCAGGGAGCGAAGAGCAAGGACACACACGGCACATCTGCATTCGGGGGTTTGGCTCCACTCCCGCGCCCAAGACCCCTGTCAGTGTCTGGGTGTCCCGGGCCCCGCGGAACCTCTGCCTGGGGTCTCCCCAGGCTGCAAGCAGGGCGCAGCAGGCCCGGGCCTCCCGGAGGCTCGCTCAGATGGTTGGCAGGGCTCACGTTCTTGCAGCAACAGGACTGAGGGCCCTGCTGCCTGGGGGCTGGGGGCTGGAGGCTGTTGCTGGTCGGAGGGGCCGCCTGCTGGTCCCCATGCCGGCCTTTACCCTTCATCAGCCAAGCAGGTTCGGTGTCCGAGGAGTCCTACCAGCCGTGACCACACAGCACAGTCTCCGGAGGGACACTCCATGCCCTTTGCCGTACCCCATTCCAGTCTCAGTCCTGCTCACGGGAAAGGGGGTCACGGAAATACAGAGCGGGAGCGGGGGTCCCGTGCAGGCGTGTGGGCCCCCCCGGGCGTCTGGGCGTTCCTGTCCTGTACGACATCATGAGGGTACCACCGTCTGCTCTCAGACTGAGCGGAGGCCATGGGCCCTGACGCGTGTGGGGGCAGCCGTGAGCAGGAGCGTAGCTCGGGAAGGAGGCCATGACCCCCGTGCCTGGGTCAGACGCTCAGGCATCGGGTCCCAGCTGCGGGGATGAGCTCAGGGGCTCATGTTCGGGAGATGGGGGTGGTGAGGACATCCTGGGCTGACCTCGTGGGGGGCTGGATGGGCTGGGAGAGGGAGAGCCAGGAGGTGAAGGCGAGTCTGAGGCAAGGTGGCCCGGGAATGGGCAGGTCGGAGCCGCTGAGGATGGCAGAAGGCACGGCTGGATTCTTTTCTCCAGCTGGGGGTACACAGCCTCTAATTTCTGTGGTGTGCTCCTAGAAACAAAGAAATTCTTCAGTATGCCCTGTTGAATCGTTCGCTGGCCGTGCTGCATGACGGGACACGAGCGGCGGGCCAGGGATCCCCCAGACCGTGGTGAGGCCGAGCGCAGGTGTGTGTTTGTGGGTGTGGCAGCGCGGGCGAGCGTGGGAGACGGGACGGCTCCTACCTGTCCAGTAAGTCTCTGGCCTCCTAGGACACAGGGCAAGAGAGTGACAGTCACAGTGGGTCCCCAGGTTCCTGCCACCTGCAACCCCCTCCCCAACCTGTCAGCGGGCACCACGCAGAACCAGAGGGGGCACTGCTCCCCAGTGCCCTACTCTGCCCCGCGCGTCACAGGGAAGCCTGTCCCTGTCACACCAGCCAGCAGGTGCCCCCAGCTACCGAGGAGGAGCACAGCCTTCAGGGGGCCTCGCGGTCTGCACCTTCAGCGTGTCCATGCCCAGTCCCTTGGTGGTCTTGTCCAGAGCGGCGACCAGGCTGCGGAGCTGCGCTGTGGCCCGCGACACGTCCAGGATTCTGGCACCCGGGGCCGGCGTGTCCTCCAGCAGGTCTGGCCACTGCTTGAGGGGGGCATCCTGCTCCCTCCTGCTCTGTGGCTGGCTCTCCAGCTCAGCCTCCAGCCTGCAGGTCCCACAGCCTACCTGGGCCTACAGAAAGCAGATTCCCAGAGACTCGCTGTCGGTGCGCCCCTCCCGGCCCTTCAGCCTCTGGATATTCCCGCGAGAACGCTTTCCCCCACCCCACGCTCTCAGACTATCCACAGAGGCCACAGCACAGCCTGCCTGGAGCTCCCTGCCCGTCCCAGGCGGAGGAGAGACCCCACATTTACGGGAGCAAGAGGGGCAGACAGACAGTCTTTGGGGGCCTCGCGGTCTGCACCTTCAGCGTGTCCACGCCCATCAGAGACAAAGGCCTACGGTTTGTGTGATTTCCAGTGGTGAGCTGCTCGTCAGCTTTGATGGTCGCTGCAAGCCGGGCGGATGAGACTGGCTTCGACGCACGTTTAAACCACACGAAGATCACAGGGCTGGATGTGACCTGAGTCACCCAGCCCACAGGCTTCTGGCCCCCAGGCCCCCCTCCCGACACACCCATCAGGCTGCTCAGACATGGTGGCCAGAACAGGGCATCCGGCTGCCAGGACCCTCAGAGGCGCCCCTCCCGAGACCCCGTGAATCCCACCTGCACTGCCCACAGCTTCTCCTCTTCCTGCGCTCTGAGCCGGCAGAGCGCCCTCAGGTCTCTTCGGAGTCTCCTCCTCCTGCGGCTGAGCCGTTCCTAGAGAGATGCACACACCTGTCTGTCAGCCTGGGGGTGCAGGGGTGCTTGATGGCATGCACCGGGCGGTTGTGATCCCAGGATGAGGTACAGGAAAGTTCTGCCGAAAACCAGAGCATGCTGGAAGCGTCGTGCTTGGGGCAAGGGGCACCCGAGCTCACTGAATAGAGGATGTCGGGGAAAGCAATGGGTAATTGTTTAAAGCCTTAACTACACAAAAATAACACAGTAGCAGGACTTTTTCCATTGACTCCAAGGTGTTTTCTGCCAACATCTAAAAGCTGTATGGGGATCCGGGCAACTGTGCACCCAGTGAAGCCAGTCTAGCAGGACTGACTCCGCGGAGACGCAAAGCCTCTGGCACCTCCTCCCCCGTCCTGGCTACGTGGACAAGAGCCCCAGGGCCCACAAACCCACAGCTCGAGGAGGCAAGGCCTCTCTCTCAATCCCAAATCAGTGTCTCAGTGGGTCCCTATGTCCCTGAAGCTACAGATATATTGAATGATTTCAGTTCCTAAAAAATCTGCTTTCAAGTTTTTTATAAACAAGGGAAACTAAACTAAGCTGGTGCTGCTATCGACATAGGATTTCGTGATGAAAGTGGAAGGGAAGGTGGGGGTGTCAGCAAAGGGCAGCCCCTGTCGGACCAGCTACAGGTGTGTGTGCCCTGCGGGATGACAGGACCGACAAAGCCGTGGAGATAAAACGGTACAGTCCCAGGACAAGATCACACAGAAACTGTAGAACGTAATCAGTGAGGGAAGGGGCCGAGTCTGGAGAAGACCACGCTGTGAAAACTGGCTCACAACAATAGAGAAAAACTAAGCTGGGTCGCTCCCTGGACCCATATGTGACTCTAGATGGAGTAAGGACCCAAGCGTGAAGGTAAACCTATAAAGTTAGCAGAAAATAATGTCAAAGAATAAATCGTGACCTGTGGGGAGGGAAAGCTGTCTGGAGATGAACCCCCATCAACAGTCACTATTGTGGTTCAGTGACAACACCATGGACAAAATTCACAGCGAAAGGCCAGGTTGAGAGGTCACAGCACAGTGTCCAAAACCAACAAGAGACTTGGATGTGGAATACGGAAAGGAAAGCCGGCACATCAGTAGCAAGACAGGAACCTAAGAGAAAGGTTCGCAAAGAACATGAATAGTTAATTCCCAGAAGCAGGCATGCAAAGGGCAGTGTGTGAATTGATGCCCAAGCTCACCAGTGACCAGAGAAATGGAAACTCACAGAACGACGAAACATTATTGGATGTCCGTCAGACTAATACCAATCAGACACCTGGATAACCCCTGGGCAAGAGGAGATGACGGTGATGTAAGGACTTGTGGGCAAGCCGGTGACAGGTGCACAGGCTCAGCCACCTAAATGTGCTTTCCTCTATGATCCAGTGGTCCTGTCTCTGGGTAAGTGTCCCAGGGGCTCCCTCACGTCGGTGCTAAGAGGAAGGCTCATGACAGCATCCCTGTGCCACCAGAGAGATGGGGTCACGTCCAGTCCGCTCCTGGGAATGTGCGAGGGCAACGTAGCAGTGAGGAAAAGCAAGAAACAGCACGAGCCTACAATAGCATTGTGTTAATTCAGCACAGAAGCACACGGTGCAGCAATATGTTTTACCAAGCCATCTACAAATAAAAATCCAAGAAAGACTTCAAAGGTTGCCCTGGGAGGGGGAGGGACAGTAATTAAGTAGAAAAATAAGTAAGACAAGAAGGGCATTTGTGGGCTGAAGATAAGGATGTGCTGTTAACTGAAGAGTAGGTTTCATTCACTAGATCTTTCCCGCAGCAGGTCAGAAAAATATTTTTAGGAGATGTTGTTGTTGCTGTTGGCTCTTTATGAGGAGCATTTTTTTTTATTTTTATCATTTTTTGCCTCATTTCCTCTTGTAAACTCTCAAAATGCATTGCTTTGGTAAAGGAGAGATGTATAGGGAGAGCCTAGAGTTGGAGGAGGTGACTTCGGAAGTTCTTCCTGGCCCTCAGAGTCTGTGGGTGAATCGAGGCCAAAGGCCAGAGGTCAGCAGAGACATCCAAGCAGTCAGAAAGCCAAGTAGGCAGAGTGGGCAGGAATGTCACCAGGTGTCACCTGCAGCATTTGGCAGAAGGAGTTGGGCGGGGGGTAAATGGGTACCGTGGATGATCCCGAGGGTCCCGTGGCAGAGGTGGAGGGGAGATGTCCAGGTGAATGCAAAAGCTCCAACAAGCAAACAGACGGCCCTCACCTCACGTTCCCAGGCTGTTCTTTCTCTACTCTCACAACCCACCTTCTGGGCCCCACTTCCTCAGGGCCCCTGCGCTGCTCAGCCAGGGGCTGGCTTCTCTTTGGAAACCTCTCCCTCCAAGGTCCCCAGAGATCTCTGGGAATGAAGTCCATCCAGAGGGCCTCTCTTCTTTGAGGTGACTGTCCCCATGTCCCTCCCCATTTCCCCCACCCTCACCCATCCTTCCTTGCCCTGGACCCTCCCACTGCTGCCCCTCTGCCTCTGCACTTTTCCCGGGGAAGGGCGCCTTCCTCAGGTTGCTTCTTGAACCCTTCTCCATCTCCACACTGTGCCCTTAATTTTCCATTCTGGAGGCTTCAGATTTCATCCTAATTCCCAACACAGATATTTTCCCCTAACAGTCGATCCCATGTTTCCAGCTGAGAGCTAAGTCTCTCCTACTGCCCTATCAGCAGCTCAAAGTCAACATGGAACGTCAAGCATCATCTTGTTGGCCACTCTTCTGTGCAGTCCACTGCTCTGTCATTGGACTCACCATCTGCTGTCCTCCTGCTGGACACCTCAGTCATATTTCATCTTTGACCCATGTTATTCCTCTCTTCAAAATGACTTCTCATTACCAAAGATAAGCCCAAACTCCTTAACCCCGTGTCCAAGGCTCTCAGGGACCTGACCCCACACTCCGTTCCCAGTGCTTCCCCCCCGCCAGGCTCCCCACTAACCAGAGGAATTACGTGTGGCTTCCTGAACACACCCCATGCGGCCACACCCCCTCTAGCCTTATCGCTGACTTCCCTCTGCCAGGAATGCTACCTGTTTCTGCCTGTCAGAATCAGGCCGATTCTCAAGATCCAGGTGAAAAGCCACAGTCTTACCTCCTGGTATAGTTTAAAATTTATTTTTTTAATTTAAATTCAATTAGCCAACATATAGTATATCATTGGTTTCAGATGTAGTGTTCGATAATTCATCAGTTGTGTATGACACCCAATGCTCATCACATCAGGTTCCTTCCTTAATGCCCATCCCCTAGTTACTCCATCCCTCACCCCCTCCCCTCCAGCAACCCTCAGTTTGTTTCTTATGATTAAGAGTCTCTCATGGTTTGTCTCCCCCTCTGCTTATATAGTTTAAAACTTTAATAAAAAGTTTGAAGTCAACTGCAAACATTGTGTAAGTGAAAAAAGAAAGCAAAGGTAGTAATAAAGATAAATGCATGAAATAATCAAAGATAATACAGACCTATCATCGCCAATATTCAAATGAATAAGGTAAAGTCCACTTTTTTTAATGGATCCCTCCATTTTTGCATTAAAATAACATTTAGTAGGTGAATGTCATACGAATGTGCACTCATTAGAATTAAAAATCAAAATTGTATAAACTTTTGCTTTCCTAAAATATCCCGCAGAGAAAAAAAGTACAGATTGAAATACAGGGAATAGTGCAAGACCTCTTTTGTCATAATGAATATTTTTAACCGTTTGTGATCCTATCAGATATGAGATAAAATGTGGTTTCACAGTAAGAAAAACTGACCAAAAAGGGCACTGAGTAGTAATGAAATGTGAGAATCTAGCAACATTGAAATTCCTTCTCAAAAGCTTTGTTCACAAAATGCATAACAGAAGTGGCTAACAGACCAAAATTTACATTTTCCTAATACAGTAGCCAAAACAAATTACCAGCTTTCAAAAATATGCTCCCTATGAAGCCAAAAGTGTCCCAAAATATGAATAAGAATGAAATCACCCATTACATTTTATGAGGGGGAATGGTGTTGATGACCAAGCCTGACAATGTCCACATGACCGTGCATCTAGAAAAGATCCGGAAAGTAGCTTACAGGAAATATGAGCCCAGCAGACTCTCATTTGAATCTACAGTACTAACTGCCTGAAAATGAACGTTATAATACAGAAAGAGCATTTTTAAACTTTTTATTGTATTATATATATATAGTTTTTATACATATATTAGTTATACATCTATATATATATGTTAGTTTTTAGTTTTTTTCTTCTTTTCCTTTTCTTTTCTTTCTTACGACCTTTCTTCTAACAAGCTTCTCATAACAAGCAGACCAAAACACACCTAGGTACTAGCTTCCTATATGTATATTATTTTATCTTATGTTATTTTTAATTTTTTAATTTTTTTCATTTTTATTTTTCATTTTTTTATTCTTATTTCTTTTTTCTATTTTTTCTTTCTTTTTTATTTCCTCCAAAATGACAAGATGGAGGAATTCACTCCAAAAGAAAGAACAGGAAGAAATGACAGCCAGAGATTTAATCAATGCAGATGTAAGTAATGTCTGAACTTAGAATTTAAAACAATGATTATAAGGATACTAGCTGGGCTTGAAAAAGCATAGACGACACTAGTAAGAATCCCTTACTGCAGAGATAAAAGAACTAAAATCTAGTCAGGCTGAAATAAAAAATGCTACAACCGATATGCAGTCCCAAGTGGAAGCCATAAAAACAAGGATGAACGAATCAGAAGAGTGAATCAGTGATACAGAAGATAAAATGATGAGAAATAATGACGCTGCAATGAAGAGGGAAAGAAAACTATTAGATCACAAAGGTAGACTTAGGGAACTAAGTGATTCCATAAAGCAAAATAATATCCCTATTATAGGAGTCCCAGAAGAGGAAGAGCAGGGAAAGGGGGGAAGAACATTTATTTGAACAAATTATAGCTGAGAACTTCCCTAATCTAGGTAAGGAAACAGGCATTCGTCCAAGAGGTACAGAGAACTCCCCTCAAAATCAACAAAAATAGGTTAACACTATGACATAGTATAGTGAAACTTGCAAATTTCAGAGATAAAGAGAAGATCCTAAAAGCAGCTTGGGACAAGAGGTCCTTAACCTACAAGAGTAGACACATTAGGCTGGCCGCTGTGCAGCCAAGAATACTATGTCCAGCTAGGCTGTCATTGAAAATGGAGAGATAAATATGCAGCCAAGAATACTATGTCCAGCTAGGCTGTCATTGAAAATGGAGAGATAAAAAGTTTCCAGGACAAACAAAACCTAAAAGAATTTGCAAACACCAAACCAGCCCTACAAGAAATATGGAAAGGGGTCCTCTAAGCAAAGAAAGAGCCTAAAAGTAACATAGACCAGAAAGGAACACAGACACTATACAGTAACGGTCACCTTACAGGCAATACAATGGCACTAAATTCATATCTTGCAAGAGTCACTCAGCGTAAATGGACTAAATGCTCCAATCAAAAGACATAGGGTAGGAGATTGGACAACAAAATAAGATCCATTGATATGTTGTCTACAAGAGACTCACTTTTGACCCAAAGACACCTCCAGATTGAAAGTGAGGGAGTGGAGCCATTTATCATGCTAATAGGATATCAAAAGAAAGCTGGAGTAGCAATCCTCCTATCAAACAAACTAGATTTTAAACCAAAGACTGTAATAAGAGATGAAGAAGGACACCATATCATAATAAACCTTGTTAAAATGTCTATACTACCCAAAGCAATCTACACATTCAATGCAATCCCTATCAAAATACCATCAACATTTTTTACAGAGCTGGAACAATCCTAAAATTTGTGTGGAACCAGAAAAGACCCCGTATCGCCAGAGGAATGTTGAAAAAGAAAAGCAAAGCTGGCGGCATCACATTTCCGGACTTCCAGCTCTATTACAAAGCTGTCATCATCAAGACAGTATGGTACTGGCACAAAAACAGACACATAGATCAATGGAACAGAATCGAGGGCCCAGAAATGGACCCTCAACTCTATGATCAACTCATCTTTGACAAAGCAGGAAAGAATGTCCACTGGAAAAAAGACAGTCTCTTCAACAAATGGTGTTGGGAAAATTGGACAGCCACATGCAGAAGAATGAAACTGGACCACTTTCTTACACCATATACAAAAAATAAATTCAAACTGGGTGAAAGACCTAAATGTGAGGCAGGAATCCATCAAAATCCTAGAGGAGAGGGCACCTGGGTGGCTCAGTCAGTTAAACGTCTGCCTTTGGCTCATGTCACGATCCCAGGGTCCTGGGATCGAGTCCCACATTGGGCTCCCTGTTCTTCAGGGAGTCTGCTTCTCCCTCTGCCCCTCCTCCCACTCGTTCTCCTAATCTCTCTCTCTCTCAAATAAATAAATAAACTCTTAAAAAAATCCTGGAGGAGAACACAGGCAGCAACCTCTGTGACCTTAGCTGCAGCTACTTCTTGCTAGACACGTCTCCAAGGCAAGGGAAACAAAAGCAAAAATGAACTTTTGGGACTTCATCAAGATAAAAATCTTCTGCACAGCAAAGGAAACAGTCAACAAAACTCAGAGGCAACCCACAGAATGGGAGAAGATATTTGCAAATGACACTACGGACAAAGGCCACCATTACTCCCATGTCCGACCCTTGTTTATTTTCCTCCTAGCTCATAAAAAAACTCACAGTTTGCTTGACTTCTTGTCTGTCTCCCGCCCTCAGCTGCGGAACCCTCACAGCAGGGATGGCATCTGTTTTGTCCACCGTATTCCCAGCATATATGGTCATTTCTGACACACTCCAGGAATTTCTTTAAGTCTTTCACAAGTGAACAGATATTGTTAATTTCAGGCTTCCTGTCATAATTTAAAGGCAGACCAAGGACAGGGGTTCTGAATCACCTCTGCTTCCTGCAACACCATACAACATCCTACACAGAGCACAGAGCTGAATAAATCACTGAGTGATTGTGCCGGGCTCGCTAGTGGTGGGAGACCTCTCCCTGTGCCCTGCACCGAGGGAACCTGGCCTCCCTGGCTTTCTAAACTATGTCTTCACTTCCCATCCTCCCCTCCAACCTGGACTCCCCCTTCTCCTATATCAGAACACGTTCTCAAAAAGTAAAGTATCTAAAGGAAGATTCTGAATAGTCATCTTTCATTACTGGACAGAAAGACACCCTGGTGAAAATATGTCAGTTTTCCACCCAATCAAATACTAACTGGATTGGGGTTGGAGGGTGGGCAGGTTCATAAAAATAATGATAAAGCCAAGGGGCAAAATAAACATAATGAATATCCACAAAAAATCTAACATATCAGAGTATCATGAGGGTTCTAAGACCTACCTGACGTTAATACACGTTGCAAAGGTGTGTATTTCAAATGCTTGGGCGCACAGGCAGGAAGAGACAGAAGAGGGAGTCAGGAAAACATGCAGCTATATGTGCATATGAAGCAGGGATCCAGATCCGTGGGGCAACTCTGGATTAGTCCATAAACTGGGACGGGAAAAACCATCCTCACTTGGAAGGTAACTCACACTGTCAGCAAAATGTTATCTTGGATACGCTGAGTCCTCTAAAACATGTGTTGAAGGATGTTCCCTGCAACGTTCTATGCGATCTCAAAACAAAACAATAACCTTGAAATAACTCAATGTCCGCCAGTTCATGCACTCATAGAATTGAGTACCGTGTGGTGGTTGCAAAAGACTTCACAAGAATTTATCTACACACACTGATAGGAAAATGGGAAAATGTCCAAGATGTACTTATAGACGACAAAAATGACTTACAAAAAAAAAAAAAACATGGAGAATCCATGGTGGGGAGTGTTAAAGAGTGCATTCACACGCACAGTTCTCTGGAAGGGTGATACACAAAAACCAACAGTGGTTACCTTCGGGAAGCAGGAAGATTTTTATTTTGACTTCATACCTTACAGTGTTGACTGAATGTATTACCAAGAGCATGTAACTTTTATGATAATAAATTAAATAGGATAAAAATAACCACTATAGGAAGGAAGGAAGGGAGGGAGGGAGACAAAGGAAGAGGTAAAAGAGAGAATCATGTACTAATTTCCAGGCTTCAATATATTTTCAGGACAGACAAATACCATATGATTTCACTCCTGTGTGGTATTTGAGAAACAAAACAAATGAGCAAAGGGAAGAGAGAGAGAGGAAACCATAAAACAGACTGTGAACTCTGGAGAACACCCTGATCACCCGAGGGGAGGTGAGTGGGGATGGGGGAAACGTGATGGGGATGAAGGAGAGCACTTGTTGGGACGAGCATGGGGCCGTGTATGGAGATGATGAATCACTACGTTGCACACCTGAAACTAACATTACACCGTATGTTAACTATACTGGAGTTTAAATTTTAAAAACCATAGTTACAAAAGTCTCATGAAATATATATATATTTGCAGGATAATTATCAGCATATGCAAAAGCTGATTACATCTCCCACCAAATTTCTAGTTCTATCAAGCAGGGGAACCAGGTAGTCTAGGCCTGAAAGATCTGTGCATTCTCAGGCTCAAGTCCATCCTACAGATGAGCAAACTGAGGGCAAAGCATGCTTCCTGGGAATGCATCACCACAGAGACAGCGCTGCTCAGACTCCTATCAATGCACTGACACGTATATGGTGGAAAAGTCAGGGCAAGGGTCCAAAGTAGAATGAAGCAGAAGAACCAGGAAACTGTTAGTTCCGGAGCCTGTGTGGGCAGAGGGTAGGAGGGAGCTCTGGGGCAGGTGGTGGCCTGGCCTTACCTTGTAGTGGCTGAGTGCATCTTCAATGGCCAGCTCATGGTGCCCCTGGTGCTCAGGCGACACCAGGCACTCCCCGCACAGAAGAAGTCTGCTCTCCTCACAGAAATAGCACACTTTCTTCTGGTGGCTGGAGCAGAGGTAGCCCGCCCCCAGCACCCCCTCGGAACAGGGCTTCCGGCACAGGGGACAGCGGAGGACTCCGGAGGCTGAGGCCTTCACCACGTGCCAAGCCAGGCACCCTCGACAGAAGTGGTGTCTGCACTCGGTGCTCACAGCGTCCTTCAGGAGCTCCTGGCAGATGGGGCAGATGCCCTCTCCCCGGCCATCCTCCTGTGGAGGAACCATGGCCTCTGCCGACCTCCCGGCCCCAGGGCCTCCTTCTCCCACTGGGTTTTGGAGGGCCTGAACCAAGGCAGTCCAGACAAGAAGGCCCAGCTGGGGGGGGGCAGCCCCCCGGCAGCGAAGAGAGCTCGGCTCGGCCCCCAACGTCAGGCAACTGCTGGAACCACAGCCCGACCACGCACGCCCCAGTCTGCACCCGTGGCAAAGCTCTCTGCTCAGCCTTGATGCGCTCCCTCCAGCCGCTGAAAATCTCTTCTTATTTGTCACACGTCGGGAGCAAACCGGCGATTCGGAAGCCACTGTTTTCCTCTCAGAGCTTTCTGTGTTTGCTCAGCTCAGAGTGACAAGGCCAGAGCGTCATGAACTTTGAAGCTGGTCGTCTTTGCTGACGGGCCCGAGGTGGAGACAGTGCGGCAGGGGCTCGGCGTGTCCTCCCCCACACGGGACAGCAGGAGGCTCGTGGCAACAGCCCAAGAATTTAGCTACTGCCACCGAGTCCAGCCGTTGCATCCGTGTCTCTTTCTCTCAGCCAACATCCTTTCTGGGGTTACATGGATTCCACGGTGAGAGAGAAAGAGAAAGAACAGGGCGTGTGGAGCAGACCAGGGGCCTGTGCAAAGTCTGAAGGCCTTTTCCCTTCCTTTCAGAGTGTCTCCAAAGAGGGGCCAAGACGGCCGCACTTGTCTGAAACATCCTCACTCCTGCATCCGCAAACCGCTTGCCTGGTCCTCCTCCCGAGAAGCTCCCTTGGGCTCCACTCCAGGACGTCTTCCGGGCTGTCTGGACAGAGGGCCAGCAGGTGAACGGCTCTCTTCCCCGAGTGCCAGTTTGGACAATGGCCGTGTGTCGGGAACACCCTCTCTGGGAACACTGGATTGCCAGGAAGGTGAAGCTCGCGGGGCCGGGTGGCGGGTCTAGGGTAGCAGACAGGTGAGGTGGACGTTGGCTGGAGAAGGTGTGGCTTGTTTGCACACAGGGAGGAGGAAGGTCTCCGTGCGTTCCGTGTGAATATGACACAAGCGAGAGCCAACGGTCAGCGTGAACACTCCCCAGAACCCCAGCTTGTGCAGCCCTGGGTCCGGTGTCCCTGAACCCCACATCTACGCACGACCCCGGGACGGTCCCGCCCACTGTCTTGGGGCTGACCCCCGCCCTGACACCAGGCTGCCCGGGGGTCCTGCTGATGAGGCTGACAGGAGGGTGCCGGGCTGGCTCCGTCGCTGGAGCCTGCGACTCTTGACCCTGAGTCCAAGCCCCTCGTGGGGTATAGAAATGACTTAAAAATGAAATCTTTAAGAAACGAAAACAGCTGCCACAGATGCTGCAAAAGTCCGGGGTTCTTGGGAGAGCCTCACTCCGCAGCCCCTCTCCCCCCTCTGGCCCCGGCCTGCTGCCCAGGTCCTTGACTTCTGCTCCGAGGAGGCAGCTCCCGGGAAGCTCCGCGCATGGGTGGGGTGGCATCCTCCTCACTGCACGCACCACCTCATTGCGTGGCTTCCCTGAGCCGGGGAGCTCGTGCCCACTCTCCTCTTCCAAGCCGGCCTCCACAGAGCTGCCTCTCGAAATGCACACGCACGCACGGGGGCTGTGTGCAAGAGGCCCCCAGCTTCTCCCCACCTGCCCCCTGAACATCCAGCATGGAGCCCCTTCCACTCCTTCACTTGCTCAGCCCAGCGACCTCCCTCTGAAACGTGGCAGAACTGAGATTTCACCTCCTGAAATCAGCAATGCAGGACAGCACCCCAGCTCCACCTGACCGAATCTGTTCTTCAGGCTCTAATCCTTGATCCTTCCACATTTCTGTCCTATTTCATGATGTGAGATGGGGAACCTGCCCATGGCCCCTTAGGGCAAATGGAGAGCCGGGACCCAGGTCCCGATGTGTGTCGTGCTGAGCACAGGCTCCCTCACCACAGAATGTCGTGTCTTAGAGCTCAGCACAGGCTTCATAAGTGGATGGGGGACAAACAGCTGGATTCTGGACAGACGGGAAGAACCAGCACCTTAGACCATCTGGTAGTGTCTACAGTCACTCGGTGCTCTCTTGATTTTCCTACCAGCTAACTGAACAACTGCAAGGCAGGGGTCCACTCTATCCGAGTTCACACCAGCTTAAGAACATTTCAGTGAAGACATCGTGCAAGGAAAGACAGAGTCAGCCCCATCTAGAAAGATCTGCGTGGAGGGAGTTCGGTCAGGACCCTGAGATGATATTGCATGGGAACACATGGTGACGGCGCTCGTGGTGATGAGCCGCGCGTACTGCGCGTGACTGTCCATCCTCCATGTTGTGCGCCTGAAACACAGTAACACTCTTGTCCACTATGCTTCAGTAATAAATAGTTTCTTAAATCTCTCCGCGGAAAAAAAAACATAAACGCAATGTCAAGAGATGAATGACCAAATGAAATCGTAAAAACAAACATGTTGGCAACTATCATCAAATTCAAGGGCTGATTTGCCGACATAGCGAGAGTGCTTACAAACACAAAAGTAATATTAACTTTAGGTAGAAAATTGGGCAGAGTAAATGGACACTTCATAGAAAAACTACAAAATAACTCATAAGAAGATGCTCAATCTCACTCACATGAAGAAAATCCCTTTAAAATGACACTGAAATCAGATGTCTGGGTGAGTAGAGGACAGGACGGGGACCCCACCTGCACATTTTAACTTGGAACAAAGTTTAAACCATTACTTAAGTTTTCACATGATTTAGAAGAGGAACAATCGGTCACTAGAATGAAAGGAATTCTAGACTCAGCAAAACGTCTGGGTGTCAAGGCACCTGGTGGCTCAGTCGTTGAGCGACTGCCTTCGGCTCAGGTCATGATCCCAGGGTCCTGGGATCGAGTCCCCTGTCGGGCTCCCTGCTCAGTGGAAAGTCTGCTTCTCCCTCTCCCTCTGCTGCTCCCCCTGCTTGTGCGTGCTCTCTCTCTCTGTCAAATAAATAAATAAAATCTTAAAAAAAAAAAAAAAAAGCCTGAATCATGGTCCTCTAATTCCAGAGGTTTAGAGCTCCCTGTTTGGGGCCCTTCGGCCTGCATCCCGGACAGTGGGTCAGGTGTCCCAGCTGGGAATGGAGGTGCAGTTATTGGAGGATGCTGTTATTACCCCGTCTCAGGCCTATGTGGCCTAGCTCCTGCATAGAGTAGGTGCTTAATATGTTTTTGAACGATTTTAGCTCCTGTAAAATATCGCAGCCAGGAGTCAGATGATTTGCATCTTTTCCCTCTGCTTGGCCCCCTGTTGCTGCCTCAGTCGGAGGCTTCCCTGCATCCTCCCTGCAGCCACCCTGAGCTACTCACATCAGCTTGAGCCCCGCTCAGCCGGTTTCCTGCCTGAGACCTTCCCGACCACTCACTCTTCGTCCCTTCGGGGCCCCCACGGACAGCTGGGCAGGCTGCCCACTGCACATGTGCAGGCCGCAGAGAGGGCGGCCCTCCAGGGGAGGCCACATCCAGCCGTCCACTCTGCCCCTTGGCAGTGGAGCTTACATGAGCCTGTGGCCCCCCTGAGCCACAGGGCCATCCAGATCCTTCCCTCTGCTCCTGGTCTCCGTACTGATTCTTGGATGCATCATCACCACCTCAAATTCAAGGTACCTTCTGAATTATTCTTACCTGGATTACCTGCCCCCCAGCCTGGAACAGGCAAAGGAGGGCGTCCTTCAGCTGTGCGTGGCCCTGTCTCTCCGTGGGCCGCAGGGGGGCGCTGTCCCCCAACACAGGGCGCAGCTCCATGCACTTGTCTGGACCAGACAACGCTGCCAGGACCCAGGGGCCCTGCAATATTTCTTTTTAAAAAGGATGGCTTCCCGGAGGGCAGGGGGGATGGTTGAAACAGGCAGTGGGAATTAGAGAAGACACTTATCAGGATGAGCACTGAGTGATGTATAGAATTGCTGAATCACTGTACCGTACGCCTGAAACTAATAGGACCCTGTGTTAACTACAGTGGAATTAAAATAAAGAACTTGGGGCACCTTGGTGGCTCAGTCCGTGGAGCGCCCAACTCTGGATCTCCGCTCAGGTCATGATCTCAGGGTGCTGAGGTTGAGCCCCACGTTAGGCTCGGCATTGGGCTCCATGCTGGACATGGAGCCTACTTTAAAAGTAAATAAATCAAATAAAAAACGTAACTAAAAATAAAAAGGATAGCTTTAAAGCGGGCATTGTAATTCCTCAGGACAAGAGATTTCTGGCCAAGGCAAGTTAACTGTCAATGCGTAGGTCTGGGAGGGGAAGGGGGCATCCAGCTGTGCAAGAGGAAGAAGGGTCTAGCCCAGGAGAGTCAGCCTGCAGGGCAGCCCGGGCCAGGGGGCCCAGGAAGGAGGCTTGCCAGGAAAATGTCAAAGAAGTAAGAACAGAACCTCTAATACTGAGCCTTAAGGTATCTCTGGAATTATGAAAAGCAAGGTCGAGGGAGCAGGGTGCCCCAAGATGCAAGACTCGGGAGACTTGGAGAACTCGGTAAACACCTTAGGAGCTGCTGCTGAAAGCAACCCATCCTTGGTGGAGCCTCCAGATTCTGCCCAAGAGCGGGAAGGGCACTGAGGCAACCAGCCCCTCCTCCAGGCTGTTAAAGGACCCTTGAGTGCTAAACACCATATGATCCACTCACATGTGCAGCATAAGGAATAGCGGGGAGGAAGGACCACAGGGGAAGGGAGGGAAAACTGAAGGGGAAGGAGTCAGAGAGGGAGGAGAGCCATGAGAGACCCTGGACTCCGGGAAACAACAGAGGGTTTCAGAAGGGAGGGGGCCGGGGGATGGACACTGGGGAGGGCACGTGATGTAACGAGCACTGGGTGTTGTACGCAACTGATGAATCACTGACCTCTACCCTTGAAACTAAGAAAACACTGTATGTTAATTTAATGGAATTTAAATTTTAAAAAACTAAGGAAATAAAATTAACTGAAGCTGGAAAAAAAAAAAAGAATCCTTGAGTCCTGTGGAGTCAGCCAGATGGACCTACGTAGACACTCTGACTGCAGG